AATTGAACTAAGAAGTTTGCATCTGATAAGAAGCTGTTTTACAAAACCCTACGTCAATTGGGAGGTAAACTTCTTAGTTCAATTCATTCAGCCATTAACCTTGAACTTTGATTACTGTTTCCCGGTTGCCTATTTGGTTAAAGAAGAATCTGGAAGAGTTAGGAGTTTGGGATAAGTACACCGATCAGGCTGATTAAAAGTGCCTTGACTGGGAGGCCTAACTTGATCTATATACCTAGGCCCTCTTCGTCAGGGTTTCCATATTTTTATGTGGGGTTCAAGTTTGATCATACGTTTCATTCTCCCACCTGTCTCGGAAACATCGCACACTGAAGAAACCTATCTGTTAACGTGTGACACATAACATTCTACTCTGTAGAGGTCAAACCGTTACTCCAATGCGCCACCTCGTTTACCTGCTTTTCGCCTAGCATAGATTCGGCTTGTTCGGTTGTCACACCAAACTTGAACAATACGGCGTAGACAGCGGTATTTAAACGACCAAGTCCCGTATGGTCATACGGGAGTACTGTCAGGTTAGCTGCCACATACACTAGACCGTCCGTGAATGAACGAATTTCGCGGCGGCTCCGTAGATTTCTGAAGTTGACGAACATCGGCCAGGCCTTCTGTACACGTGTCGACACCCTACCCGAGATTCGTCCTCCAGGCGAGATAACTGTCCAAATGGTAAAATCTATGTTCTTCATTAACTCTCGGGTTAGACTGACTTTGTAGGTGCAAAACGCATGCTACATTAGCATACAAATCTCCCAGAGAAGCTTAAAAATTAAAAAGGGTCAAAATCTAGTGCAGTAAACAAATCAAAAGAATTGTATTCTCACCCGAACATTGATCGGTTTTCTCTACTTCTGTATTTCTTTTTCAACTCTTGGTTATTTTTGCGCCGTATCTGTAGATATTTTTTCTTACGTTGTTAGTTGAATGCAATGATTGATTTTTCTATGCAGAGCATTGTCTTTTTCTGATTGATAGTGTCGAATTGTTGGTGAAAAATTACGGGTCCATAAACTAGCCACTTGTTTGACTTATGGTTGCGCACGCAGAGCAGTCACTAAGCGTCTAATGTGCAGTAGCAGAGTGGACCATTCAGAACGATTTCAGCTTGCTACTGGAATGAGTGGTGACAGTTCAAAATAACTGTGGCACCAGATCTGCAGGATTGTGTACACATCTCGACATTGCCATGTGACCAGTGACTGATGATATTCCGTCCTTTCCATAGCATATGTTACAGTCAACACCTTTCATCGAAGTGATGAAGTTGCTTCACGCGCAGAAATCCGATCTCGAGCTTTATAATAAAAGCGTTCATTCATTCAGTCATATTTTGGCACTTGTACCGAATAACCTTCCGATTGTGCTTTCCATATTTCGCATACAAAAATTACCCATATCCCGTATGCTTCGTTGGTGTCCTTACCTGTTATCCGCATCTAATACCAGACTCAGATATCTGATAAGGTTGAAGTTTTCAACATCTCCCTCGCGTTCATCTTTCTTCTTTTTATGGTTACTTCAGTCCTCTTTTTTCACTTCTTCATCCCAGTTTGTAATTTATACAATCTGCAGGTAATTGCCTCTTGCTTACAGTTACTTGCTTTGGTTTGTGTTCGTAGATCTATAGTCCCAGCTATTCATTACTGAAGATTACAGCGGGCAAACTCTCCATTATTGTCCGACGTACTTTAATTAAATAACCCACGTGTTTCTTTGTTCTATTACTTTCTGATGGACCATTATCATCCAGGTTGGATAATTGATTAATTTATTTTTCTGGTGGATTTGACCATTAAATAATCCATTATTTTATAACTTCCATTTGTTTTTTACCATCATGATTCGGATTCTGCTTTCTTCACGGTACCCGTCGCAGAATCCTAGCCCAAGACTCCACAGTGGTCACCAAGAAATTATTGAAAGTGAGTGTTAACCTTACTAACTAGTGGAAATTATCATTCCCAGTGTAATTTACTTTTTCATTGAACATAAAGTGATTGACAGTAAAGGGAATGTACCCCATAGTCAATGAGATACTGTAAGGGGAAGGTATTTAGAGGAACATTCAAGTGAGAATCAATTTGTTAATCCTGCTTTTGAAAGAGTAAGATTATAACTGCTTGGGAACACTAAGTTAATAAAAATGATCCTTAATTTTAGTTTTTTTCTTTTTTATAAAAAGAGAAGATGCTGGGGGTGTAAATAAGGGTTTCACAGGAAATAGAAAAGCTCAGTTCGTGCGCAGCTCACGAGGGGCGAGGGTGGAAATAAAACGGGATCTACGGAGAGAATCATTATATGCCGGTCAATACATTAGATAATACGGATACGTTATTACGGCTTTATCACTTATCTTTTAATGTAGGGAGTGTATAATGCGCAATGCACTTAACCGTTAGTTCCGTCAAATCTGTCGAATATCTTGAACTCATCATCCAGTGAAACGCATAATTTTCAAATATCACGTGAAACTTACACTGTCCATGGTTTTATCCATCGAAATTGTGCAATTTGAATAGTAACAAATCCTGCAGTTTGTGACTTTGAAGTTCATTGTCTGTTTCATTCTCGATTTCATCCGGGTCATTGTATTTGTCATCTGTCGACCATCATTTTGCCCCTCGCGTTCCAAGTTTGCTAGAAGACTAAAAAGGAAACCAGGGCAATGTCTTCGAACGTTTGAATCGTTTGCAGACAGTAATAGACAGTAACAGTTTCAGTTTCTACAACCATTAGCCATGCACTATCGTGCGCCGGTATTGGTTGCTGTCTTTTGGCTACCCATTTGTGTGAACAGTAAGAGAAAGATATGAAAGGTTGAAAGTAGGATCGACGAGAAAATTTAGGATTTCATTGCACTCATTTTGCAGAGAAATTGTCAGGATGCGCGAACGCCATTGTTTACGACACCCAGTCATATCACTCAGTGTCTCTAACCATCGGTTACGATCATCCCGAGGTCCCCATCCAGGGACCTATGTGACCCAGTCTCCTGGTTAGGGATTTCGTTCCCTCATGCCAGGTTTNGTTTCACCACCCTTTACTTTCTTTCACCCACTACCTGTCTCGGCGAACATCGCTCGCCGTGGCAACCTATCTGGTGACATGTGTCAACACATGCCCCGACCAACGTAATCTATGGAGGTCGACCACTTGCTCCAGTGAACGACTGCGGTTTCCTAAAACTTTAGGCCTCACCTCAGCATTGTTCGTCCTACTGCCCCACCAGATTCGTGCAATGCCGCGTAGACAGCAGTGTTCAAACACCGACAGTCTGTCTTTATCCTTCATCCTTAATGACCAGGTTTCTGCGCCGTACAGCAGAACTGGCAGAACTTCCGCGGCATACACTCGACCCTTAACAGGCGCCACAGATATCTCAAGTTGGCAAATGCCAATCGAGCTGACACGTGATGCATCCACCGAAAGATATATGGATGCTCAGTTAGCAAAATTTGTCTATTTGCTCTATTACTCTCCATTTAGGGTGAGGCTGGGTATAGGGCCGACCCACTCCACTCGAATTATCATGTCGGTAAGGTTGTCATAGCTGCAAAGCGGTCCTGTCATGGAATACTTTCGCTTATTGCTTAATCACTCAATTCGATGCTCATGGTCCACTACCATAACCGGTATTGCGTGATGCGACCAAGTGGTACGCCACGTCCTTCCGAAACGTGCGTTTCACTACTGATATAACTGTTTCATCAGCATGCTATTTACATCAGATCCTCAAATACCAAACATGTAGTATTCTATCTCCCCGTCTCTTTCTCTCAGCCACAGATGTCGACCAGACGAGCATGAAATGATGATCATGTCGATTCATGCAATGGTGTTCAAAAATACCTATAGGCTGACAAAAATGTTTAAGGTTACGGTTTCAGTAATATAATCATGATGCAGTCCTGTCCGTCTAAATATTAGTGTTCACAAGGTAACTAGGCGTAAATCAACCATATGCTTACAAACTAAAATGGATTCAGGATTTTCTCAACACTTCCGGTGTTATCAGTCCGTCTTGAAAATACCAAATCTGATGTCTGAGGTTGACGTGTCTGTCTGTTTTCCTCACACTAAAACAATCTCATAGTCCCATAGTAAACGTTGATCAAAATGACAATGGGAATGTGGAAGTTCTGTTCATTTGGGTCACTATCCTTGTTATATAACATTATCACCCAAGTACTAAACTAATTTTCGTCAAGTCCCCTAGATCCGATCTTCACATTCTAAACCTAAAACCAATTGATTCACACTGTCTCACAATTACGGCTCATTGAGTCCTCTGGCCATTACTGATCTGTGAAACCGATTGTTCTTATTTGTGACGTGCGCAATGCTTACAACATGAAAACATCAGTTCATCTCTTTTTTCATAGACTTCATTATGCTGCAACTAAATTGTAAAACTCAAGACGGATCTCTTTAGGTAAACCAGATAATCACAGCATATGCACACTACCCAACTTTGACAACCAGCTTGCCTGGATTATTAGTTTCAGTTCATATTTGCAAATGTTTTGAGCTTCCTGTAAAAAAGAAATTGGTTGTGAATTTTTTTCTCCGTAAGGAGTATTGGATTAAAGTTTCAACTTTCAGGACGCGCATTCTCTCCTGCATTTGGGAACATAAACGTATGCGTTTTCACTCAAGTCCTATAGCTTAGTCATGGGGGTTTATCTTCCTAATTCACCGGATTGTTTTCACCCACAAACATCTATCACCTTTTTATCATTTATCCCTTCCCCTCCCTACTCACGTGGATACCAATATCCACTAACCTACACATTCCCATATTACTTCAATGTCTTGACAGCTGGGTGCTCTGTCCAGTCTACTGTATGCGTTGGGGAATCTGGAATTCCCTGATAGTCAACGCCAAGCCAGTCTAACCGTTGAAGTAAGTGGACAAATTAACAGATATTCTTGTTTCCCAACGGTTGCCACGGGTTACGTGTGTTTCGTGTACCGAGTTCTAGACTGCACCCAATCCTAACATACGTATCCCCATACATACAGGTCTTGCTTGTATGATATTGCATGTTGCAAATAGCTAGGCGTGGAAATCTATCCTATCGACCGATTTGATATGGGCTGCCACGCATACTGAGAATATTGTCCCAATTTCACTACGTAAATGATTGTCTCCAATTGTACAGTGTGGGTTAAATTTGAAAGTATCACCGCATTTGTTTCTATCTCATTGTGTTAAGTTTCTGTGCAGTCAGACATAATTGAGTTGGACGGTTCGCATTGTCTCAAGTATTGCAATGCGATTATTCACTGTGCAAGGTGATCTGGCACTAACGGACTGTTCAAACAACCAGTAGTTGGATGTTGGTTCCAATATCAGACCAACATAACAGCTTGCCTTCTTAACACATGAACATGCACTTGTCTCAAACCGTCTCCCTGATATGATTTGTGTGAGGACGAAAAATTGTTTTCAGTTTATGGTCCCTCCCCCACAGATATGCTTTGTTTTAAGCTTCGCGAGCATTTAGCTTTCGACTGAAGCGGCTAGCTTACACAACAACACCTCAGATCGCATCGAAATACCGCTGGATTTGAATCTATGAAGATAAATATTAGCGTGGGATTTCTTCTCAGTGATTATTGTAGCAGAAACAGTAACCGGTTCAGGCGACACGATACTGATCAACATGCAGTCAGTGATACATCGTCGGTTGACCCGTTTTGGTTGGTATATTCTTTTCTACGAATGCCCAGGACTTGAATCAACAACAAGCCAAAGATAATCATCTGTGACCAGTCGCATTGCATCTTGTGTGTGCTTCTGGGAGATACTTGATGATCTGCTGAGCTCGGATGGGTCAGATTGATAATGATGCGTGCGAACTGCTAAAATTCAGCGACGGTTGAATCCATAGAATCATTTGAATCGTTCCACTATGATTGGGTCCACGTAGTAAGGAGTAGACCGTTTACGTAGTCTTTACCAATCAGTGAACAACCAGGGTCGTTTATGTTTTGACACTATGCCAGATTTTGATTGAAAAAAACTGGCATTCATCTTTGATCAAACGAAATGATATCCATCCGGATTCCGATGTTGTTGTCATACATCGCTAACCTTCAAGCCAGTAAATGATGTACACAGGAACGCAGCACGAAGTAATTTATAGGAACAACTTCCATAACGAATATAAAAGCCTCGTAACACAGTGCTGCGTTCACTTTGCTGTATTGCTTTCGGTTTTTGCAACTTAACGGTGTAATTTCGTATGCCTGTTTTGTTTGCTGTCTCTTGGCTGCATTACATTATCGTCCACTACCCTAGTCATCGATCTATTAAGTATTCCATTTCGCGTGTTTTGCATACTATCATTATGAACTGCTTGTAGGAATAAACTTAATAATCACGGGGTCCTTTCGTTGATTTATGAAAATCGGCAACAAATGCGCGAGACCTGAGTTCGTTTCTACTCTACACTAAAAATAGCACATTATGTAACTAAACAGGAGTACTACGAATTTGTTTGTCATTGTGCAATGCAATGAGTCCATGAACAGAACTGGTCTCACACAGATCAGTTGTACAATATGCTTCGAAACTTTTCACTTCACGCTTTATTTGTTCTGTGCACAACAAAATTCACCACAAAATAGACAAACGTTTCCGATTTCCAAGGAAATGGTTACTCAAATGCGATAGAAGTGTTTGTGATGACCGACAAAGATCTTTGGACAGCTGTTTGGGACTCGTCGACAGTGCGTACTTTTTGTCTTTGTCAAAACTTGTACCCCGAACCTTCGGGTTGGGATTGCAAACCTTTATCCCTGAACTACACGGTTATATTAAGGTTCCTATTCGCACCAACATGCCTTACCAATTGGCATACAGAGGGGATGGAAGCAAAACAGCCGATCGAATTAGTTCAGTGCTCAGACTGTTTGCTGTGTTCGCATTTAACTCACAGTTACTTGTGAGTAGTGGTGTGGATAATTGATACTGATTGATTCAACTTACTATCCATCGGACTCCACCTTTACGCACAATCCTCAGTTCATCTATTCAATCATACACTCGGGAGCACCAGACTCGAGTTTCGATCTTATTAGAGCTCATCAGTAGTACATA